TTTCCTTTAATTTAGTAGTGTAAGTGGTCGTACTACCGGTAACACACTACTACTACTATATATATATATATATATATATATATATATATATATATATATATATATCCCATGGGCTGATAGAACAGTGTAAGCCCAATAGCCCAAATTGAATCTAGACTGATCTAAGGATCACAATTGTATTTCGTAAATGAATTTTAATTATTTTCTACAAATCCAAATCACTTGAATTTTGAAATATCTATTCTTCAAAAATAGTGGAATCTAATAAAAATATAAAAAAATAATTTGCATAAAATAAATTGATCAAAATACTCCTGAAATGTATTAGGGGTATTTTGGTCTATTTATTTTATGCGAAGTATTTTTTTAAAATATTTTTATTGGGTGCACGTTGATGCTCCAAATTTCATGTTATTTGAATTTATATAAAAAATATTAAAATTAAATTACCAAAATACAGTCTTGACCGTCAGATCGGCCCAAATTTATATGTATATGTATATGTATATGTATATGTATATGTATATGTATATGAACTCTTCCCAACGCCCATAGGCGAAAATGAATAGGGATTTCTCATCCCCATCCAAACTTCATCGCACGGTCACAATTGTCCCGTAGTGTTTTATTTTTCATTTTTTTCCCTACTAATCCAAGTTACTTTAAATTTGGAGCATGTATACATCTTAGTGAGGCGCACCAAATAAAAATATGAAAACAATAATTCACAAAATATAAATTGATCAAAATACTCTCGAAAACAGGGATATTTTGATTAATTTATATTTTACGAATTATGTTTTTCATATTTTTATTAGGTGCGCCTCACTAAGATATACATACGATCCAAATTTCAGATCATTCCGATTAGTAAAAAATAAAATGAAAAATGAAACACTACTGGACAACTATGACCATGCGATGAAGCTTGGATGACGATGAGGGTAGGCAAAATCACTAATCATTTTCGCTTATATCCGTCTTGTAGTATCTTATAAATATATATATATTTCTGAAGTTTTCTATCGCCCTTTTATTCTCAGGAAGTAGGAGTATGGTTTCTATTGTTTTATATTTTACCTCTTCTTTAAGGTAGTATAAGAACTTTTCTTTATTAGAAATTTTTTCTTTTATATTATTGATTTCTCAAATTTTAGGTTTCTCGAAGAACTCAAATTTCACATTATGTCCTTCTATATTGGCTTCAATTCCAGTATTATCAATTTTTATTATGTAAAGCATATTTAGAAATGGAGTTCCCAGGATTACAGACTGGCTTAATCTTTTACCATAATAAAGGGGAACTCAAAGCAGTTGCCATTATTGCAAACCGCAGCATTTGAAAGTTTATAATTTATAACTATTTTACTACCAGCTACCGTATTTAAGACTTGTGTTGTTTTACTAAAATATTTAGTAGGGACCAAACCTTCATTTATGCAATTTAAATATGTTCTTGAGTCTATTAGAGCAAGAGTTTGAAAACTTTATTCTTTACGGATGATTATTTTTATTTTGGTAAATCATTTCTGAGTAATTACTTCGTCAAGAAGACTAACATAATTACAATCTTGGGTTGTACTAGAAGATTCTGGTTCATCAATTACCTTAGGGGAAAATTCTTCTGTCTTAAGAAGCAGAGGATTCTTATAATCATTTATAATATTGTTAAATTCTAGTTCGTCATCATTATTGACAGAACTATTTTCAATTGGATTAGAGGCTAACCCTATAATCTGGACTCTATTTTTCAGCTTTATTAGTTCATTACGAACCTCGTTTATTTCTTGTCTTAGTTTTGAGATGGAAGGTTCTTTATAGGTATTATTTTTATTTTCAACTTTTCTAAGAATATTGGCAAAACAATAATCTTCTTGAGTACGTACAAGAGGAGGAGAGGGTTTTTTATTTGTCTTAGCTATATTTATATACTGGACCAAAGCTTCTCGCTTAGTCTCTAGATCAGTTATTTTATCGATTATATCTATGATTAGGTTTTCTTCTTTTGTAAGAGTATTACAAAAATATTTAGTATCGATATTATCAATATCGGAGTCTGAACTGCTCAGAATCAATTCTTCGTCCTCTATTTCTCCTGTTAACATTTTTATATCTGGATCAGAAGAACTTTCAGAAGATTCTTCTTCAATTTGTAACATACTAAACAGTTGCTCTTTGATACTGTCATCTATTTGTAAAGCATCTATTTTCTTCTTGATTCTACATTTATTTTTGTAATGACCTACTTTTCCCCAATTATAGCAAACAGGAATTTTCCTCTTTCCTTTGCGTTTAAAAGAGGTATTTCTGGGATAAAACTTTTTAGAAAATCTTTCTTTTATCGAAGTTTTATTCGTGGTTTTACTAAAATATTTAGTAGGGACCAGACCTTCATTTATGCAATTTAAATCTGCTCTTGAGTCTATTAGAGCAAGAGTTTGAAAACTATATTATTTATGGACGATTATTTTTATCATGGTAAACCATTTCTGAGTAATTACTTTGTCAAGAAGACTAACATAATTACAATCTTGGGTTGTATTAGAAGATTTTGGTTCATGAATTACCTTAGGGGAAAATTCTTCTGTCTTAAGAGGCAGAGGATTCTTATAATCATTTATAATATTGTTAAATTCTAGTTCGTCATCAGTATTGACAGGACTATTTTCAATTGGATTAGAAGCTAACTCTATAATCTGGACTCTATTTTTTCAGATTTATTAGTTCATTTACGAACCTCATTTATTTCTTGTCTTAGTTCTGAGATGGAAGGTTATTTATAGGTATTATTTTTATTTTCAACTCTTCTAAGAATATTGGCAAAACTATAATCTTCTCGAGTACATACAAGAGGAGGAGAGGGTTTTTTATTTGTTTTAGCTATATTTATATACTGGACCAAAGCTTCTCGCTTAGTCTTTGGATCAGTTATTTTTAACCGCCCATTTCATTTTTCGTATTTTCATCCATGTGGAAATCCCACCAACCTCTCAGCCATCCTGTGAATCCACAAGTAATGGCTTTGGCTATTTCTTGGTCATGGTTTCCACTTATCTTACAGGCAATGGATCATCCAGAATAAGATATAGAACTTGTAATTAAATCTTCTTCAAACTGGAGATCTATAGGGGTAGGCCTAGGATAGTGTATTCTTGTTTGAGAAGTAGGCCTAAACTTTTTCCCATAGTCTATTCGGTTTATTTCAAGACTTTCTGTTTTAAAAGCTTGCTCTATTTTGTCAAGTTCATTATTAGGAAACGGTTCTTGTTGAAGGACCATAGCTCCTTGGTCAGAGCTTGTCTTAGAAGTTACTCCATTTTCTTTTATATTTAACTTTGCTAGTTTTCTAACTAGCTCATCCACTAATTCTTTATTAGTATCCTTCTTTTTTATACCTTGAAGGCTGAACTGATTTTTATTAATGGTTGGAGGGGGTTAAAATAGTAAAGCTTGTTTCCCTTCCGATTTCTTATGATCCATAGGGTTTTCCCTTGGTCTACTTATTATATTTTCAATCCTAGTTGTCTACCTTCCAATGGTTTGTAAGTAGAGATTAGTATAATTGTTCTGCTCAAGTAGATGTGGAATGACATTTATTTTATGTGTATGGTGATCCGTTTCTTTAGGAGAAATTTTATAAGGTGAAGCCTTAGCTTCGGGTTTATCTTCACATCTTCCTTTCATCTGAAGACTTCTTTCAAGGGGATGAATAGATTGTAATTCTTCCCCTTGAGTGGTATAAAAGGTTTGATACTAGTTCTCAACAGTCTTAAGACCAAATTCTTGGATTTTAATGTGTTTTTCCCTTGGTATATATCTTGACCATTCAAAAAACTTTATATTTCTCTTATGTTTTACTATGAATTTATTGAATTTCTTATGCGACGCATCTAATAGGTTTTGGGGGAATTCAGCCAGGTACCAATCCCGGATGTTCTTATTTTCATCAGACAGGAAGTCTTGTTTTATGCATTCTTTATCCATTTTAAATATTTTTTCTTCTATTTTTTCTTCTTGGAGAGTAAGGATATTGAAATCTAAATCAGAAAGCGTTGGTTTTTTATTTGGGGAACTAGGTTCATATATTCTATATACTAGTTGTTGGACTTGACTATTTGTTCTAGTCAATCCTTTTACTACTGGTCTCCTATAATTTTGCTCATGTTCTGACTGTGGAACAGAAGAAGTAGAGCATCTTGAAGGAATTCTAGAAGGGCCTTCAGAAATATTTATTCGAGTCCATCTG